TGAGACATTTGTTGTTTTTATGTTTATTTATTGTTTTTATGTTCAGTCTCAACTGTTACGAAGTTGATGTGCAGTTAATAAGTGCAATAAATATTTATACTGGAAAAGAAAATCGTGAGAGAATCGTGATCTCAATTCTAAGCAAAAAAATCGTGATTCTTATTTTATGCAAAATCGTGCAGCCCTAATATATACATACATACATACATACATATGTATATATAAAATATACAGAGGTCAGCAGTAGCAGTGACGTGGAGCTTTACTGACTTGTTGTCTAAACTGCAGGTTGTGGTGTCGGTGTGATGACTGATAGTAAAGTCAAGTCTCTAGAGAGGAGCATCTACTTTGGAGATTCCTGTCAGGATGTGCTCGGTGCTCTGGGCTCCCCACATAAAGTTTTCTACAAATCTGAGGACAAGGTAGCAATTCAGTTTAACTCCATCTTTACTTCTTGTATTATTGCTTTATGTTAAGTCTGTAAAGTGGTGTTTAACCTGTTGGATGTTATCCATTTATCAAACCTGCTCTCTTGTCATATTTTCACCATTTTAAGAAGTTGTATTAAATATTATTTGTATTAATTTAATTAAAGACAAAAAGTCACCCTATATTTTCCCAAATTCTTTTTGTTTCAGATGAAGATCCACTCTCCGTCACCACATAAGCAGGTCCCATCTAAATGTAACGACTACTTCTTCAACTATTTTACCCTGGGAGTGGTACGTGAGCAAAGCTGTGCTCGTGTGTGTAAATCTTGGCGTCTGTGCAGAGTTATTTTTAAGAGCTTTGTCTGCCTCTGAGCTGTGTTTGAGTTTTCCTTTTAATGGGGACTCAATGTTGTCTGAAAGTACCGTCTGTGTCATTCAGAACCATTGGACGTCATACTGGAGCGCCCATATCAGCAGCACCTCCCCCTCCTTTCATATTATATTTGTGTAAGTCAGAGCCACGCCCAAAAGAAAAGTCCAGCTGCAACCGTTGGTCAAGTCTATCAGTGTACAGTTATAATGGTCGTAGTGTATGTACCCCAACTCCTCCTTATTGGGTGGGACAATCTTACTGAAACCTTGGATGAACATTATTAGTCTGTTTCTCAGAAAGATTTGTAATGAATCCCATTTTTACCATCACCTGCAAATGTGATGTTACATTCACCCTTTACGTTTGTTTCACGTTCGACACATCACCAGTGTGTAGCTTAAAGGTCTGCGATGATTTTGTTGACTCACCACTAAATACGTAATGAAGAACCTGAAAGACAGCACGAGCCTGGCTAGTATATTCAGTGACCGTGGTGTGCTAAAAGTCAACGCATCGTGACCCCCGTTAGGATAAGTTCCTGCAGCCGGGCGGCGTGGACGCCCAGAACCTGCGAACGAGGCAATATTCATGAGTTTGACTATTGTTGACCTTGACCACTCCTACCTGCTCGCTGTGAATTAATGGGACATTTACCTGCACTGCAGCTTGTTTCTACAATGGATGAGATGCAGGCTAAAAGCGTGACAGGCGGTCAGTCTAACACAGCTTTAACTCAGTCATGATTCATGTTTTTGGACTGTGAGAAATCTCCTGGTCCAAAGACATGAAGGTTGAAGTTTGCAATAATAAAAACTGCAACCATCTTGTTGTGATGCAAACCACATGCACCTGCATTAATCACTGCATGCAGAGGTGTAGTTCTACCTTTCTTGATTCGCTCACATCTACTGTTTGCAGTAGATAGGTGTCGACTACTTTCCTTCTCTCACCCCAACCAATCACAGCAGATGG